CCCACCGCTCTCAGCCAGTCCCCGTGGGGAAGGTGCTCCAGCCTCCTGATCATCTTCGTGGCCTCCTCTGGACCTGCTCAAGCAGGTCCATATCTTTCACTTTTTAGCTGTGCTACTGTATTTTTTTATATATATGAGTGTGTGTGTGTGTGTGTGTGTGTGTATATATATATTATATCTATATTATTTAATATATATATTCTTTCACTTCTTAGCTGTGCTACTATATTAAGCCCTGCTTTTGCATGGGACCAGCAGCTCCAACTTCACGGTTTTCTTGAGTGGGCATTTGTTTTTGTTGATAGGTTTACATATGCCTTTTTTTTGTTTGTTTTTCTTTTTGTGTGTGAGGTTTTTTTGTTCTGTTTTGTTTTCTTCTCCCCACTCCTGCACCCCCCCCCAACTTGCTGTCTGTTTGCAGTTTGATGCCTTGGATGGAGCTGGATGGCGAGTATCTCTACCTGTCTCAAGCGGAGAGCATCCAGGCCTACCGTCTCTGTCCAGACCGTGCAGGTTTGCAGCGTCACCCTCAGGCTATCTTCTCTGGCCACCAGGAGGACGTATGTCGCTTTGTTCTTGTCAACTCCCACATCGTCAGTGGAGGGGGGTAAGTTGGGTGAATGAAGCAGCCCAAGGAGTGTGGCAGTGAAGTTTGAAAGGTTTTGTGGAACTCTAGCCCAGAGCAGAGGGGTCAGTCTTGCTACATAGTGTCCTCATGCTTGGCTATGTTCAGGTGCTGCTGCTTCCTCTCTTATGATTTGGTTTTGTCCTGAAAAGCTTCTACTACAGCAGTGAAGAAGCTGAGTCTCATGCTGTTGACCTTATAAAGTGTCCTTTTCTCTTTTGAACTTGTGTAGATGTCCACAGGATTGTTGAGTCAATATTGACTGATCAGGCAATCCTGACTGATGTGCAGTTTTTGTTTCTTTCCCTGTTAGAGTCAGGGTAGCTAGACTGTTCTAATATTCAGAACTGCTGGTTAACTGAGACCGCAGTGGTGCGTAAAGCTTTCTAGAGACACGTATATGTTTACTAGACCTACTGATGCAATTGTGGAGAAGGGGAAAACTGCCAAGCATTCCAGCACACACACACTTCTCCAATTAATTTTGCATTTGACTGGCCTTTTTCAGTTACAGCAAATGACAGAACTGTTGTTTATAAAGTTTTAGCTGTTAATATACATAGCACTTAAGCACAGAATTGGGAGACACAAGCATGGCTGTCTGCGCTCGGTATAATGAGACTCTCCCCTGTAAACTGTAGCCCAAAATTCAGGTGAAAATGAAGTATGCATTTAAAATTCCAGTAACTGTATTGGTTGAAAAAAGTCTAAATGTCTTTGTAGTTAATTCAAAGCACAATACCCTGCACGGCTGCTCTGAAATGAATGAAAAGCTGAGGCTTGGACATGGGTGAGAATGACCTCTCACTTGTTCCCTTACTCCAGCCATTCAGCATCCAGCCAGGATTCTGGCAAGCTCAAAGCAGTAGGAGGAGGAATGGCTGCTCTGCTAGTTTCTGCAGCTTAATGCAAAGTGGAGGGTGGAAAGATAGCCAGGAAAATTTTCATGTGCAGCAGATCAGGCTTTGACTGGCCAGATGTGGGATTGCAAGAGAACAGGTGATGTGTGAAGAGTGGAGGGTTAATAACGCTGCATGAATTTCAGCTCCCGTGAGAGATCAGTCCTGATCTTTTTGTGTCACTCCTAAGCACTAATGGAAGGTGCGTGACCAAGGGAGATACCTGATACAGACTCCCTGCCTGGGGATTTGTTTTTCAGAGATGGAAATATTGTCCTTCACAAGATCCATGGCTCCTACAGCATCCAGTTCTCTGCGCATGAACAGGAGGTGAACTGCGTGGACTTCCAAGGTGGTCTCATTGTCAGCGGCTCCCGGGACAGAACAGCAAAGGTGAGCAGTGATGGTCCTGCAGCTGCAGGTGCTACCGCAGAGGTGACCTTAGGGGTCTTGTGCCATCGATGTTTAAGTGTCAGCAGTACTGTTGTGATCCCTGTCTTGGGTGTCTGCAGGAGGAGTGCTGGGTATCTTGGCATAGACTCATGTCTCTGAAAAGATGCTTGCTGTGCTAAGCTTTTAAGAAAGAGATTTGGCAGTACTTTGACTGACAGAGCTGCTGGTTTAAACTAGGAAGTGCAGAAGGCAGCAGCTGATGTTTTGCTTCCTTCATTGTACATCTAACACCATAGTGGAGATCCGTACAACTTAGTCTGAAATTTGCGGTCTGTATCTTGAGCCCATCCTTGCTTTGTGATGCTGTGCTGCTTCATGTGCTGTCTATTGTATATTTGATCTCTTTAAGGGATAGCATGATGTCTTTTCCAAGTCTGTGGGGTTGTGCTTTGTTTATTTGTGTTTTGTGGGTTTTGGTGGGTTGGGTTCTTTTTGCGTTTTTTTTTCTTACGGTTCTTGGTTTGCAAACCAGGAGTGGAGTTAGGCTATGAATACTGTTAGCTCCCATTTTTCTCTTCCAGTTGGCATCACTGAAACCTTTCACATAATTTTTGAGCGTTTCTTTTTGAGGCAGGACCTTGTTGATTTTTGTCCTTCTGGATCTAGTTGGCAGTGCTCTATTCCTACATGGACCTGGAGAGTTGTTCTCCTAAGCTGTAACCAGCTCTGGTTTAGTAGTTTAGGAAGCTCCATGTAGGCATCTCACCGTTGTCCTGCTAGCATGATACAATCCCTGTAGCATCATCACAACCACTTGTGTCGTTGTTGGAATTGGTTGCTGTATGTTGAAAGCTTTGGCAGTTGCTGAGAGTAGGCTAACGGATGCTCTTGGTCCCCGATATATATCGTAGAGCATTAATGGAGGTAAGAGGAAAAACTGCTGTTCCTGTTTTGCAAGAGGGGAAGCTGGGGCAAAGAAAGACTTAAATGTCTCTTTCAGGGTTTCATAGGAAGTGTGTGGTAATGGGTAATGAGCAGTATGAGCCTGTCTATTCTCGTTGGTCCCTCTGTACACGTGTACTCCTGGGTAAAAAAGTAAAGCGGTGTTCAGATGCAAAGGGCACTGCTGGGGGTGCTGCTTGGCTCCTGGGAGCAAGGCCTTGATGCTGCTTTGTCTCACACTTAAGCAGGGCTGCTCCTCTCTGGTCTGTGGAGCCTTTTTGCTGGGAGAGTGCCTTCTTGCTGCTTCCCTGTCAGCTGGAGGATGGACCTCCCTGACCTTGAGAACAAATTCCTGAAGGCCAGAGTGGAATTTGAGGCTGTTTTTCTTGGAGCTAGTGTGAGATCTTGCCCACCCAGTGCTCCCCACAGCATAGGCTCTAGGGATGTTCGTCTTTTTTTTTTTTTTCTTTTAATCATCTCTTTTGTAGGCTGCCTTGTTTGCGTGAATGAGACTTTTGGAGGGTGGAAGGGAATCCCTACCAGCCTTTTAAAGGGGCTCTAAGTGTCTAAGCTATTGAGGGCTCCACTGAGTGTTGATTAGGACTAAGCCCTGAAGAGCTGCTAATGTACATTCCTGTGTGATAGGCACCAGATAGCGTGCTCTGAGCAATATTTTTAACCTGTAGGAGATAGGAATGCCTTAAAAGAGTTAAGCTTTTCTACTGCTTTTGCTGACACTAGGTGCTAAATTCCCCGCTGACAAGAATAGCCTGCAATCCTGGGCATTATCAACAAACAAACAAATAGGGCACTCCCAGCTTTGAAGTCTCGAAGTGAAACATTGGGGGTCCGTTACAGAGAACTGGGGGGCTTGAGTCCTGTGGGACAAGAATGAAGGCGAGGTGGAGAAAATGAGGACCACAAGCAGAGGCCCCAGCAAGAATCTAGGGGGCTTTATTAGGACCCAGAAATAAAGGGGGTGGTGTGGTGAACTGGTGAAAGGGGATGTGTGTGTATGCTCTGATGGAGATTCTCTCACATTGTCAGTGAGCAAGGGAGGCCTATTTGAAAGTAGCCTGAAGTACACTAAAGAAACTTGATTGAAACAGGATGGGTTTATAAAAAGCTATCTTACAGGATAGTGAATGATTAATTTTATAGGTAATATGAATGGACATTTTTCAGGTGTGGTACAAAGTCTTCCCACACTGTTCAAGAGAACAGCAGAGACTTGAACAAAACCCACTTCTTATTTAACCACAGAAGATGAGAAGTCTTAGTGTTGAGTGCTGCCTTAGAGAGCATGTGGTGATGGGGGTGCTGTCTGTTACCAGTGAGATGGAAGGTCATACTCGTAAGCTGAATCTTTGTATAACTTCAAGTGCTTGTTTCTGGCGATGATCAAATGCTCCGCTTCTCAAAAATAAGTAATCAGAACTCAGGGAAGGGATCTCGGGGAAGATGAGCACAGCAGTTTTGGCAGCTTTTCTAGCACATTAGCAGCGTGTGTCCTACCTTCTGCACCTGCTGGGTGATGTGGCATAACATGCATCTCTCTCTTTAGGTTTGGTCCCTGTCCGCGGGCAGAGTTGGGCAGTGTCTACATACAGTGCAGACAGAGGATCGAGTGTGGTCCATTGCTATCAGCCCATTATTAAGGTAACTGAGACCTCTTTATTCCAAATTTCCACCAGAGAGAAGTAAAGGAGTTGGACAGGCTGTGTGTCCACAAATCTCTCCAAGGCACCAGTGTGACACTTCACAGACTTGATTTGGGTGGAGGCTGATCAGGTGCTTGTGCCTGCAGCAGGAGCTCAGGGAACAGCGTGTGGTCTTTGTTCCCCATAACAGCGGAGTGATCTGCTCATGAAGAGGCTGTGAAAATGGCCCTGCATTCCTGTTACTGTCTCAGGTGGGACCTGTTTGTTCTTGCTTGCAGAGTGAGCTCTCTGACTTACTAATTAGAAGCAATGAGCCAGATCCTCTTGAGGTTTTCTGTACTGAAAAGATGCCAACTTGTATTCTCATTCTCTGGCAGAAGAGATGCCAAACTGTGTGTAGTTGTTAGAACTTTATTTTCTTTGAGCGTGCTGAGCTGGGAAAGATGGAAGTGGAGTTCAGGGATGAGGTTTTCCAGCCTCTGTTGCCTGTAACCCTGTGCTTCTACTGTGGGCATAGTGCTACAACTACAACTTCAGCATGGGAGGCAAGGGCAGTACCTACACCAGTGTCTTCCAGGATGTTTTTCAAAGTGCTCCTATTCTTGAGGAAGTGAAAATCTGAGAAACTTAAACTCTCAGATGTTAAAATCTTATGCTGCCCAGCAATGATATGTCTTTTTGGTTTACTGTTAAGCTGGTCTTCTGCATGCAAGAGAGACTGATCCTCAGCGTTCCTCAGGGAAGGGGGGAAGAAGAGCTGTTGTTCTGCCTGTGTGATGTCTGCAACTAGTGAATTTTAGGCTTGTGCAAAACCAAAATATTTCCCACAACTGCTGTCCTCGTTAGATTTCCAAGCTTGTTTTGCAGGCAGCAGAAACTTAGTGGTATGGAGCTAATGGCATTATCAGGGAAATGATCCTCGAGGCCTGCTATGATTTTGCTGTTCCTCTGTCCCATTGCTCCGAGTGTTTGAGACAGACAGTGTTTTTGAAGAAATGCTGTGTGCGTTAATGCTGCTGCAAGATGTTGGATAGAAGCCTTTTGCCCTCTTCGGTGCTGCGAGGGCCCCTTTTATAGCAGATAGGCTCTGGCTTTAGCACCATGGCTGGTTAGAGCCCAGTGGCATGCTGCTTCCTCCTCCTAAGTGATGACCTGCTGAGGTGGCCTCTTGTCAGGACAGTATTCCTCTCCCTGGTGTGCACGCTTGTGCACACTTTCTGTCACAATATTTACACACAGTCTCCCCACCCCCCGTTTCCTCCCTGCAGGGTGATAAATGGGAGGTGGTGGAACAGCTACCCCATGAACAAGTGGGCTTAAATTGTGCACTCTCATTTTTTGTTTATGAGACTGTGGACTGTACCAGCCTCCCCCGCTAGCCTACCCTACTGCCCCTCCTTACACCTCCATATTTTGGGGAGGGGGGGTGGAGAATTAGAGCCAATTAGCCACGTCATTAATTCTTCAATTTGACGGCTGATATAGCAGGGCCTGAAACACACTGCTGACCTCGTATAATGGGAACCCTGCTCCTTAACATATTGATGATGGGAGAAGTTAATTAAAATTCCACAGAGTGAAGGTGTCGGCTAACCTATAAACCTGTCGCTTCTCAGAACAAATCGCAGCCATCCTAGAAGAGAGAGAGGATCAGAGCAGGAGGGCATGTGGTGGGGGAGGGCTGGGGCAAGGGGCAGGGGAGATGAATTTTTCACTAATAGGTTTTATTGCTTGCTGTCTAATGAGGGTGAGTATCAAAAAGATAATATCTGGTTTCTGGCAAGGTCTGCTTTGGGGAGCTCTGTGGTTTCTGTTTTATTTGCAAGAGCCCATATTTCACCCATATACATTCCCTATGCACTTGTGTGTGAAGCTTTTCCTCCCTTGCAGTCCCCATCCTTCTTGCCAGAGCTTGGATGCATTTGTTCCTCAGTGAGGCTGAACATGGCCTATAACCTCCACTTCCTCCTAAACATTTAATGTGCCCTCCCCATTCTCCCTTCTCACTTGTGTTGGTGTAAACTGAGAGCTCCTCCACAAGAACGGATAGGTCTGCTGGTGTAGAGCTGCTGTAGAATGAGGCTCCAACCACGTAAGTATTTTGGCTCACCATTGCTGAGAACCCACCAGCTCGCTCTACTATGGACACATAGAGCTCAAGAACAGCTCAAAGCAGTTGTGCATGGTGGGATAGGAGCAGGAGGGCTCCTTTAGCTCTAACCATTCGAAAGTGCTTTAGAGAGGCTGTAGTTTCCTGAGCTGGAGGTTTGCCAGGACTGAGAGTCTCTAGAGCAGTCAGGGTTGTATTCTTACTGTACCTCAGCTGTTAATGGGCAGGATTGAAACCTTTCTTCTTGCTTTTCAGTGACACCTCCCTTTGTGTGAAAGTTCCTTAGAAAGTATCCCATGTGCTCCTGACCCACAGCTGGGTTTTCTGCTGTAGTCCTGCTCTGCTGGACTACTCTGCTGTGATGGACAGTGCCTGTACACCCAAACTAAACTTCAGAGACTTGTGCTCTTAAAGTGCAGCTGCTCTGGCTTCAGGCATCTTTCTTGCATATTCTGCTTTGATTTGTCCACAGTTTCCCTGTGTCACTACAGAGATCCTCCTGCAGGTGTGCTGAGCTAGGGAGGAGGCTTCCTTGCTCTTTGTGTGATGGTGCTGGGCTGGATGCTTGGAGGGTCTGCAAACAGAATGATGCCCATAAGGGAGATTAAGTAGGGTAAAAGGCAGTAAAAGGGTAGCAAAAGTACCGGATCTTCTCTTCTTACAGTGCAGGGGAGAACTGCGCTTAGTCCTCTGTATAACCTTTTCAGCCATGGAAGTGCCTTTGCATCCATGTGTACTATTGGAGCTTCATTGCTTTGGGGATCCCTAACAGTGCCCTGTGGGGTAGTGGGGAAGGGGAGGGCATTATGTTCCTTCTGGGTTTTCAGCAGGTCTTCTGCATAGCTGTACTGGTCGGTGTGCTTGGGACAGCATGCCCCTCATTGCCTGTGGCATCAGGGACTAGAGAAGAGTCTGAGAGTAGCGTTAAAATAGGGTGCCTCAGCTTGCTCCAGCAACTGTTTTAATTTGTCTCCAAAGCTGTCCTCCTCCATGGATTTGTAAAATGCAGTACTTACAGAGAGGCCATGTACCCTAAATGATGTTTCTTGGCTGCCTGTAATCCCCTTCCCCCCGAGTTCATTTGCCTTTTGAACTCTGCGTCATGCAGATGTTAAACTTTCATTTACTGGTGCTTACTGCAGTGACTTATGTGTGCTCAGGGACCGGGGCAAGCCTGAGTGCGGTGGACCAGTTCAAATGTGTGATGTGAGGCAAAGCCAGGGGTTTCTAGTGGAATAGTGGCACCACCTTCATGCTTTGTGATTCCCTGAGGTGGCAGTAGCCAGGGAAGAGAAGTGACCACTGTACACTGTTTAATTTGAGGGATAGGTTTATGGAGAGATTGGGGTCCAATTGCCTGGCATTTATGGCTGCAGAAACATAAGGCTCATGATATATGTTGTACTACTGAAATGTTCCTTTATTTAGGGGAAAATTTGTTGCAAATTTTTTTCCCTAATGATAGAGAAGCTTGTAAAGTGGAGGGGAAAGAAAAAAGTGGACCTTGATGTTAAATTCATTATTAATCTTGGATTCAGAAATTCTTTGGTGTTGGATTAAAAAGAAGTAATCAAATCTAAGCTGGCTTCTCCTTCATCTGGCCACTAGCATTTGCTATCTAGATTTTAAACTATTTATCACAAGAGTTGGTCTTCCTATGCTGTACTCAAAGTGTGTCAGATTTTAAACCAAGAAAAGAGGTGATGGAGGCACAAAACCAGTTTTCAATGTGCAGCTGTAGATAGAGAGCTAAGAAACCTTTGGTGCAATCTAGGGCAACGTCAGGCAACTGTAATACGCCCTGTTGCAGAAGCGATGTGCTTTGGGTGTGTAAGCCCAAAAGCCAGTCTCTCCTTTTCCCACTGTGTCATTGGCCTGCTGCAGTACGTGACCTTTCCTTGCGAATGGTGCCTTGGTGAAGTGCAGGTTTACTCCAGAGAGTAGGGAAGTTTGTACCAAAGGCTAGCTGTCTGCACTGAATGTTTAATTTAAAAGAAAATGAGTAGTTCTGTGAGCAGTTGAGTTTAAAGAGCCAGACTTGTGCTCTCTCTTCTATTTATGCAGTATTTTAGTTGAGACCCGACTCCTCTATTTTAACATGCTAATTTGAATGTGTTAACCTAATTGCCTCTCCCATGGAATATTACGGGGAAGTAATATCAGGGGAGACCTCTGCCCCTGTGGACAACCTCAGACAAATTGTAAAACATACACAAAACTTGCTGGGGAAAAGAAGGAAGAGAAGGGTTACTGACAGGCACCTTGACTGAGTGGGCCTCCCTTCTATTGGGAACAATCAAAATGATTAATTTTGAGGCCTTCTTTTTAATGGTTATTTGGAAACTTTGTGAAAGCGAAACAATCTGATCTTGCAGATTGCATTAGAGCAAAGCAACCCACTTGAGTCAGAGCAACTTTGCAGTGGTTTTAACTGTACAATTGAAGCCCTAATGTGCAGCAGTTCAAATGTTTGATAATGTTCCCCCAACCCTCATTTGTTGCTCCACTTTTATCAGCAGATATCCCCTACTGCATATCAAGATGAGCTGTTGGCTGTAGTGGTGCTCTGTTTTCACCTAGCTTTGCGCAGTTGACCTCTCTGAGTCTGCGAGGACTTGGGACAAGTAACTGGGTTTTATTCTGGTTTGTGCGTTGCCAGCAAAATAGCAGGCAGCAATAGCTGTCCTGTCCTTGGGGGTCTCTGTAGAGCTTGGTTGGTTTGAATAATTGAGAGGACACTGTGACCTGCAGCTGTTTCTTAACCAGGAGCAGGAAGAACCTGCTCAACTGTGAGATCCCAGGGTGTACTTGCAGAGTTAGTGGTGGCGTTAACTACCATCTCTTACTGACCTCGGAGAGCGATCTGGGTGCAGGTTTCTAGATATATA